CTTTTGGAGGTATTTTAAGGAGTATCTCTTAAGTTGCATATAACTAGTATTTTTATTTATAAACTGAAAGAAGTGCTACCTTTTAATAGGGATATTTATCCTTTTCATATTGACACAAAATATTTGACTTTCCCCCCTGCTAATGCGTATGTGCATGTGTGCGCTGCTACGCCGAGTGTTCCCTGTGCAAGTGCACACACATACACACAGGCTCCTCCCAGCTTCAGGGGATGCAGTGTTTGTGGGGCCCCCCTCACGAAAGCCTGAAATAATTCTGAATGTTAAAGAAGCCCTGAATTTCTTTGCCTCTATTCACTCCAGTCTTTGATCTCTGGTGGCTATTTGCTTGTGTGAGTCCCGAGAAAATGGGCTGGCATCAGTGTACACCGAAGGCAAGAAGTGGCCCCCCTGAGGGCAGCGTGGGTCCCACAGCCACTGGCTCTCAGGCTCATCCCACCTTGAACACCGATGCTCCACTTATTTTTTCCTAAAACACTATTTCAAATTCCCAGTCCTACTCCCATTTAAAACCTTAATAACGTGATTTGGAATTTTGGTCAGACTAATTTAAACTATTTTTCATACCTTACTGGGTTTTCTGGTCCACATACTTGTGTATGTGGCCGAGGATGTACATCAAACGGACCCAGCGCACTTGGGTGTCTCTCTGCCTTTGTTGAGCCCTGGGGCCCCGCTGATGACCTGCCTTCCCTGCGGGGTGCAGACATGCGGCCCTGCCCGTCCTTTCTACTTCAGCTCAGGGCCTTTGCCCTGGAACCTTCTCAGACCGTCCAGACCAGTGACAATCTGCTCCACTCACAGCACTTAGTACCTGCTTTTATGTGGTACTGCCCGTCCCCGGAGGGCCTCGCTGGGGCGCTGTCTTTCAGGTGCTGCGACTGGTTCAGGGCTGTCAGGTGTGTCGCTGATCCAAGCTGGTGGAACTAGTGAGTCTGGAAGTTAAGCATCAGTGCAAGTCAGACACCAAACCGGGACTGTGTCCCCCTGTGCTGCCCCCTGATAGGGTGTGGGGGGCAGGTGTAGGAGAAGGCAGGTCGGGTTGGCAGGAGGTGCTATTTTGGATGTAGGGAGTTAGAGGAAAGGGACCAGGGTAACACGGAGTTTCCGCCGTGGGTGACTGCAGGTCACGCCAGTTGCTGACGTGGGGAAGTGTTTCGTCCTCTCGGAGAGGAAGTCTGTCATTACGTTGTTTGGGCAGGGCAGGAGGTGGGAAGATCAGCCCCTGCTGCGTATACAGTCATTTTAAGGCGATTCTGGTAAGTCCCAGGGAGGGCGCTCTCCACCCGTCACGTGCTGCTGAGGCCCAGGAGAGAGGTCCGGCCTGCACCGGGCCTGACGCCGACCTCGCCACGCGCTGCTGCCAGCCCTCACCCTCCGTGCTGTGTCATGAAGATGTTAAAGACATCACAGAATGAAAAATGGGGGGAGAACCAGATAAAATGGCATCTGTGCCATTTCCTTTAAAAGACAATTTACAGGAAAAGGTCTTGATTACTTTCGATAAAACTTCTCGTTAAAATGAATTATTTTCTTTTGCTCAGGTTAGGATCTAAATATAAGTCTCATTCGCCGAGGAATACATGAGAATTATCTCAGGTGCCTCCATCCCCTGAGGAGCGGAGCATGCCCGGGGCCGGTTCACCGAAGGTCAGGGCTTAAATCTAACCTGCTGTGTGGGCCTAATGGGATCGCGTGACATATTTAAGGAAAATACACTGCAGCTTTTTTCAGGGTCCTAGCTACCGCCTCAGACACTCTTTTAGCTGTAAGGTAAGACCATTTGGGAAAGACTTCACATTCTAAAATGGATCTAGTGCCTTCTTACTGTATCCTGAAACTGGTCCCCACATTCTTCTGTGCAGCATCTCCCTGGGAGTTATTTCAGCTTTAACTCAAGGCGCGGCGCCTCACCTCTGTCATCCTGGACCCTGTTGGGATGCATCAGCTGGACATGCACCTACCTCCCCGTGGGCGGTCTTTGATGTCCTAGTTCTCATCGGCCAAATGTCACTGCCTTTGCATTTAAGATTTGTATGTTCTTTTTGAATGATAGAAAAGTCTATGAAATGAATGTTGTATGAAAAAAAATCAGACACAACTGAACACTTTTGGACATGGCAGCACAGCTGGTTGTGTAGAAGAGCTGCCCTGAGACAGCTGGCACAAGCAGGTCCACCCTCAGTGGCACGATTTTCATGTGAATCCCCCTCAGAGCAGCCTGGAAGAACCCCATCCATGCCAGTATCACCTTTCTGGCAGGATTATGACAAAATTGTCCAAGATAGGGTGACCCCCTCCATTTATTTTTTAGGTTCTAAGCTTTCTCTGCTTACTATACAGGCAACTATAAGTTAGGACATTTTAAAACTACATAAAAAGTCCAGAGCATAATGACAGAGGCCGTGCACCTGTCAGGGACGTACGTGTCCGCGCCTCGCATCTTTCCTCCCTGTGAAGCTGCGGTGGGTTTCATTTGGCAGTTTGCGTGTGAACTTGGATATGGGCAAAGCCGCGTATGGGTGGATGATCATGAAGGATGACAGCATGTGGTCACACCTTCTGCTGTTTCCTCCTGTCCCCCAAGGGGACTCTTGGATTTAGGATGGGACCTGCCTGCTCGTTTTTATGGCCCTGGTGCCTATGATCAGCCCACAAGCATCATGAGGTGTTTGTGTATTTTTCAAGTTCATAAACGGTATTACATTACCTATATTGTATTACACATAAACTTGTTTTCCATTGGCCAGATCTCTTGCACACCATCCCGTTCTGTGTGCGATCCGTGCTGCACGGAACACATGTGCCCTGCAGGCACTCATGTGCACGTGCAAGGGGTGCCCCTGGCGGAGGTGGAAGGTGGGTTCACACCCCAGGAGCAGCTTCGGTTTTACCACATGTGCCGCTCTCCTCTGTACAGTGGCTGTAAGGCTCTGCATCCCACTTTCAGCCTTAGTCAACCCTCGTGCCCACATCCTCGTCCTTGCGGACACTGTTCTCAAGTTTTTTTGTGGGCACCAATCTATTGGGTATTAAAAAAATGACATCTTGTTTCTGTTTTGTTTTGCATTTCTTTAGCCTTCTAAATATTCTAAGTTCATATTTAGGAGAACTCTGTAGTTCTCTATGAAGACTAGGGTGTACAGTAGGGTCATTAAAGATGTGAGGGCTTTGATGCAGGTGTGCCGCTGTGGGTGCGGAATCAAGACAGGGAGCCAGCAGCCTGGAGGCCCGCCCCTGGCCCTGACGGGTTGTCCACAGAGAATGTCTCTCCTTCTTGGGGGACGACGGTGTCCTGAGGGGCGGCTGGGAGACAGCGGCTTTACTCAGGCAAGGACCTGGGCGGGATGTGCTGTGAGCAGGTGCAGACCTGGGATTTGTTCACATGGAGTTCCATAGGCACAGGGTTTTAGACAAGTTGGGCCACGGAGGAGACACGTGGACATAGAGTTGACGGAGTGTGGGGAGCACCAGGCAGGGCAGGCATGCACAACAGGTTGCACGCAGCCAGGCAGGAGACCCACGGGGCTGGAGTTGGTTTTGTGGGGTTGTGGCAGAAGCTATCCTCGCAGGACTGCTGCAGCCTCGTGGGCACGGGGCCAGGGCGGAAGCTGGCAGACTCCCTGCACAAGGGCACGTCCCACCACCACCAGAAGCAGCCGTAGCTGAGGGCTCTGCTGGGTCCTCCATGGGGCCTCGCCCAGGGGCAGCCCACAGGGCACAGAGCCTCGCATCCTTCATGGCTGGGCTGCGTAGAGACCGCCAGAGAGAAAAATGAATTTTTAGGAATTGTACGTTTTATTTCAACTTAGTTCATAGGAATGTATCCCGACAGACAACTGTGGCCCTTCTGTGTATATTCTCAGAATCTATGCTGGTTTTCCCATAAAAAGACCTGTTAGTAGTGCATCGTTTGTAATCTCCACTTTGGGTTTCCTTAAGATGGTAAGAAAAATGTGTATGAGAATCTGTAACCATTTGAAATTTCTTCCATTCTTTTGTCTCACCCACATCTCATTAAAAAATGGTTTTTAAAACAATTCATCATATGCAGTCCTTCAAAAGCATTCCATTTCACTTAAATGGAAAAACAGTTCTCTTGATTTGATTAGTAATCACATTTCATCGAATTACATAACACGAGTGTGTAACTCGGCACAAGCAGGTCTGAGAGTGAACACGCCTGGCTCCTGCTCGGTGGAAGGTTGGCAGTTTCCAGCCACAGGTGCCCCGGGCGCTGGGGCCTGAGCACCAGGCTGAGCAGGGCACAGTGCATCTGTCAAGCCAGTGAGCTAGCTGGGTGCAGGTCAGCCGAAAGAAGTCCCACTGTCAGAGTAACCCGGGCTCTGGCCAAGCCTCCTCGGGGGCCTCTGTTGCTGGGACTGTGAGATCCAGGCACTGCCCTGCTGTTCTAGCCCTGCCGCCTCTGATTCCACCTCCTGCCCTCTCCCATCGTGCGTCCCTGGCTTAGGAGCCGCTGCTCTGAGCGGTCCTTTGCTGGCCATCCTTGCAGGACTGCCCCTTGCAGCGCCCCATCCTGGGAAGGCAGCCTGTGTGTTCTTGTGAAGTGAGCGGATGAACACCGAAACCCATTTCAGGTGTTCCCAGTAAGACACCACCTGATCCTCTTAAACATGCACGCGCTCTCCGTTGACCTCTGCGGCCCTTTGTGCCTGAAGGGGAGGGCTTACAGTCACCCGCCTTTTTCTCTTCTGTCCAATACCACAAACCAGGCCTGAGGACAAGAGGATGCTGCCACCTATTTCCCTGTCACCTGCCAACACATGCTGGGTGTAAAAGCATTTATTGACCTAAATGTCAATGAATTTGTTTATTATAAAGTCTAAAACCCAGTATTGTCTATTTCATATAAAGTTAAAGATAACGCATACATGTAATTAAGCCTATACGGGAAACGTGAACGTGGAAGGGTCGTATGGGTTTGGGTCCCACTAACAGCTGCGGTGGGTTTCATTTGGCAGTTTGCGTGTGAACTTGGATATGGGCAAAGCCGCGTATGGGTGGATGATCATGAAGGATGACAGCATCCCCGGCACGGTCGTCCGGACCAGCACCATCCCGGAGGAGCTGGGGCGCCTGGTGTATTTGCTGACTGACAAAACAGGTACGGCTCCTGGTCTGTGTCTGCCTTTGAATGCGGTAGAGAGCGTCGAGGAGAAGTGAGCTCTGTGCACGTGCCCACGTGTGGTCCTGGGGCGTGCGTGTGACACTGCTGAGTTCGTATGTAGAGTTTCCCACGCTCTGCCTTGCACCTTCTGATGTGCAAGTACTTCCAGAGTTACTAGCAAAATGTCAAACTCTTGGAGATTTAAATGACATACTTCTATATCTTTAATTTTCTGCATCCTGACAGTTGTTGTTTTATTTAACTGTCTTTATTACACCTCTCATGGCTTCTTAAGAGCAAAAATTGCTTGTTTATTATAGAATGATACTTGTGAGCAACTGAAAGAAAATAATAGTTAATAAGATAGGTGAATTCAGTATTTAACAATAACATCAACATTCTCCTAAAGAGTCTACCATAAACTACTTACCCCATTAAGATTTCATGCCCAAAATTCTGTTTGACCTTTTTCCATTTTTTCATTAAAGAATTCTTGTCACTCCATAACACACTGAATAAATTACAACTTGAATCTAGTACTGTAATAAAAGCCATATCTAAAGGTTAAAACCCTCATGAGTTATTGATTCATGATTTAAATATCTAATCATTCTTAATGAACTAGAAATGAAAGATTTATATAACATAATAAAGAAAATATGTCTCAAATAAAATTCAGCGCTATTCTTATTAAAAGATTAGAAAAATCTTCATTATAGTCTGGAAGAAGAAAGAGAAATATGCCAGCAGTAGCCGTTGCAGGAAGACAAGTAGAAGTAAGATATGCAACCAAAAGAATATAAAAATGTTTGTGGCTGTAACACCCATGGAGACGACCTGCAAAAATAAGAACCAGTGGTGACAGGTCACAGGTCAGAGTGACAGTATTGTTCCCGTGTGTGTAGAACAGACCGAAGAACCGAGGCCCGTTCACAGTGGCTCGGGTACACAGGAAACACGTAAGGGGCCGGGTGAGGACTATGGCGACATTACGGGAAGAGCAGGACGCGTAGTGAGGGGAGACACGCTGTGGCACCAGGCCTGGGCACGTGGCGCCCCGCAGATGTCGGCAGCCTTCGTCCTGAGCGTCCACATTGCCGCAGTTCAATCAGCGTCCGGCTGTTGACCTGCTCGGTTTTCATAGGGTTTGTGTTGTGGGATGTTCCGGAATTGACTGCAGGGTGATGCTCAAAAATGAAAATAACAGAAGTAATAATGTGAGGGGCTCAGGTTTAGAAGGTAGGCTGGGAAAATGCCTTCAGATGCCTCTTTCCCAGCCTCATGAGCCGGTGGGGAAATGCTTAGAGGATGAATCTGTAGCAACGCTTGAAAGCAAGAGAAGGTGGTGTTTAAGGGTCCGGAAATTTAGTTATTTCTGGAAAACAACTGAAAGTAGTTTAAAGGCAGAACACAAAGGAAACCCAAACCCAGAAAGGTCCTGCAGGCGGGTGAGAGCGTCCCTGTACTGGCGAGTCCTGGGCAATGCCAGAGTCACAGCCAGCAAGTGCCCAGGCAGCGCGCGCGTCGCCAGGCTGCCCATCACCAGCAGAAGCCCACCCGGCTTGTCGCCCTGATCAGGCTGCTCTTAATGGGCGCGTGTGCCAGACAGGGACCCGCCCCGGGTGGGCTCTGGGCACCGGTGTGCACAAACGGGCTGTGCTCAAGGAGAACAAATGCTGTCTGCAAAGAGACATGGAGGAGCCATCAGGAAGATTTTTAGAATTATAAAAGAGTTTAATTTTGATGTTGAGTCTGTATTTGTGTCTAAACTGCATTTCCATATACCAGGAACAATTGGAACACTTCTAAAAATAAAAAATTTCAGTTAGAATAGCAACAAAAAGTCAAAAGTAATTAAAAATAAATTCGAACAAAAAATATGTAAGACCTGTGTGGAGGCAAGTTACAGCCTTGAAAGGCCTCACAGAAGACCTGACCAGTGGACAGGTGCCACCCTTTGCATGAACAGGCTGTCCTCCTGCAGCCAAGAGGTCATTTTTCCCACTTTAAAATCTGACACAGTTGACTTTACGGGGTGAATGGGGACACTCCGTCGGCTGTTTTTTGCCGGGCGCAGGCAGGAGCACGGGCAGCCCCTGCATTTGGACGCCTCCCAGCAGATCTTCGCCCGAGACCCCGTCTCGGTGTCCGGCCCCGTCACTCCCGCTGTACCCCTTGTCAAAGCCGAAGGTGTCGGATGCTGCCCAGCCAGAGGGGCCTGGGCCTCTTCCTCCTGGAGGCCATCCGTAAAGGCCACGCTGACCAGACTGTGGGTGATGGAGACCAAGGGCTCGCTGCTGGTGTCTCGTCACTGCGGGCGGGTGGCAGGATTCGGTCCCACCCTCGCTTGGACTGTAGACCAGGCTTCTCGCACAGTCAGACAGAGGCTGTTTGCAGCGTCACCGCTTGACATGTGGTCTTGGGCAGATAGCCTAGGCTCCGAGCAGAGCCCTGTGTCGTCATCCAGAAAGGCGGTGGGGGCTGCGCAGCGGGGCGGCCGGGCACATGCAGGGCTGCACGTCATGGCCAAGCCCCAGACACTTCGCCTGCCCACTTTGGTTCGTTGTCCTGGTGGAACAATGCTTGTCGGATACTTGCTGATGTCATTTTCATTCCAGCAGTGTAAGTAATTGTGCTGTTTTTCTTCCTTACATTAGTCCTGCAAGTACTTTCAGCCCTTGCTTCTCCCCTCAGGAGAGCCAGAAGTTGGTCAGGTTCTAGTCTTCTCCGTGGCGGCCACCAGCATCACAGGGGTATGTTTGGAGAGGGCGTGGAGATCTCCCACGTTCCCAGTGTCCGGGGTGGGGTCGTAGGGTGGTTTGCAGATGTCTTTCGGGGGCCGCGTTCCAGCCAAAATGACTGAGCGTGAGCAGTTGTCTGACGCAGCAGTGAGGTGGTCCTGGCTGAGGGTTGGGTTGGGCCTGTGCTCGCTGACAGATGCCTGTCTCTAGGCTGCTCTCGTTTGGCACCGCAGAATAGAAACAAAGTTTTCCGATAATTGCATGATAGTTTCCTTCTTGTGGACAAGAAAGCCGTGTGGTATAATTAGGTTTGATTGGAGTGTACGTTTCCGGTGAGATCTGAAATTAATGATGTTGCTATAGTGACACATCTGCGGCCACCAGTGCGTGAAACATAAAGTAATTCATTCGACAAGAGTAGACATCTGTTAACTGCCAGGATGCAGAGCATATTGACACTGACCAGAAATGCTAGACGCCCCTGATGAACGAGCAGAGGATGCTGGAACCGCAGGACAGATCATTTGTACTTAATCTGCTGGGAGCACGTTCGTCTTCTCACTGGTGGCGTCTGACAGTGCCATTGTTTAAAGAACAATGCTGCAGAGAACTCATAAATTTTAAAACTTAACTCAGGGTGCAGCCTATTAAAGCAATACATTAATTCCTTTGTCAGGGAGTTTTTATCTTCATGTAGAACAAAGCCATTACTGAAAACAACCACTAAAACAACAGGTTTTTCGGGACTTATGTTTTAATTATACATCCATTACCCAAAATGCCACGTTGTTTAGACCGGCACATGTGACTTTCATGGGACTGCATCCTCCGTGTTGGGGAAATACGGTTCGCAAGGACGTCAGGGTGTGTGCGCTGGGCAGTGTGGCGCCTGGCTCTCCCAGGTGAGATTGGGAGTGTTTATTAATGTTCTTAAACCAGAGGGTGACCACTGGGGCCTTCGATTATACCATGAGCTAATGTGCGCGCTTGGGTGTGAGCGCTGTAATTAACATTTTGGGGGTGTTTGGGGTCAATCGAGATACTCAGCACATGCAGTCATTGAACAGATGTGTACAGTGCTGGGAATCAGAATTTGAGAAGAGCCTCATTTCCAGCAAATGTAATATGTAACTCCACATCAGATAATGTCAAATGTGTTTAAAAGTTGGTGTATCAGTCTTCCCACTTAGGGAAGTTTTGTTTTTACTCCTTTGTTTTAAGGTCCGAGTGATTCTGTGTTTTAATAGAGCTGTGGATCCCATGTGGTCATACTTTGACAGGAATCTTCACAGGAAATCGCATGCGGTAGGCAAGCTGTCCCTGAGCCATCGTCAGACCTGAGCTGCTCTGTCACGGTCACTCGCGCTCTGCTGTGGCCGTGTGAGCTTGTACGAGGCCAGATTGCAATCCGGGAGTACTCGACCGGCCAGCTCGCATCTGCTTCCCCGACGATGCGTCCTCTGCGCGCTTGTGAGTCACATCTGTCACCTGTCGCGCCCTCAGGATGATGCCTGCAGGTTGATTTCCTCTTTACATGATCTGCTCATTGTAGTCCAAAAAACTGTTTTTTTTTTTTAAAGAGTTATAGCTTTTTTCCCCCCAGGAGTCACAAGCAGCCCTTTTATCAGAAGACAATTTCCTGCTCATGGACCTACTGTCATGACCAGTCGCCTTTGAGCTCCGTGGCGTGGGGGCCGACCTGATCTCTGCCTGAGTTAGTCCCTCCTCTTGTGAAGTTTCAAATTTGGGGCGTACTGACTTCTGTTGTAGCAAGATGACAAAAACTGCAGAAACTGTCAGCTGGTCGAAATCATGAAATAATTTAGAATAAGATTTGACATGTCCTACTGACTCTTAATGACTGATTTAACCCCCTACTCATCTGCTGTGCAGGAGGGGGTAGGAAGCCCGGAGCGAGTGCTGACCCTCCGGAGTCATAGCATTTCGGAGCCAGCTATGAAAACGCCACGGAAATTCTAAAAAGCATATCAGGATTCATCTTAATATGTTAAGACATGATATGTGCCACTTACACAAAGGGATGTCTACATAAATATTCTAGTTTCTTTAATCCAACAAGATACAAATATTTTTATTCAAGTGACAAAACAGATCAGTTTAAACTGCTTAAAAGATGATTTATTAGTGACATTGAAATTTTAAAAGATGGAGCAGCTGCCATCACAGAGTGTTTGACATGACAAACTGTCAAGACACACCCCACCCGGCGTCCGGCACACCTGTCGCATGGTTCTC